TCAGCTCATTTTGTCGTCTCCGTAGCCGTCATCGCAATAGGTACACCTAAAGAGATGACATGTCGTCTCCATAGGTACACTTATAGCGACGACTTGTTGTCCCCATTGGTACACCTATAGCAACAACTTGTCATCCCCATAGGTGTTGGATACTCCTATCCTAATTATTTGTTTAACTTCCCATAAGTTTTACATATAATAAGGCAAATAGTAAATTTAATTCTAAATCAATTCAAACATTATACAATCAAAAGCTTTAAAATATCTTACAATATCTTACACAATCAGTTTAAAAACAAACAACCTAACTTGAAATTGTTTAGATGTTTCATGCAACACAATCAATCTATTAGGTATTACCTAATCGAATTCATTAGAACTATTTTCCTAGTCATCACTTTCACCTTCTTAACTTTCATTGAAACTGTCATGGTTGGCCGTTTGGCTTTTGAGATAGGAACACTTGCTACATTTTTCACTTTTCTTCCAACACCTCTTGTATGACCACTTCTTTGTCCAAATTCAAGCTTGAGGCATTCTATCTAAATACACCTGTTTAAACTATATAAATAATAAGAATAAAAATTCCCAGTTTTAAATACACCTACACTACTACAAAATTGGTTATAAAGTACTTTTAAAATAGGTATTATAATATGGTTATATGGATGTATTCTAAGGGGGAGTTTCCTATTTGAAGCTTAAATAGAGTACGGTTATACGGCCGTACTCTATAAGTAAATTAAAATACTCTTCTTTATAAATAACCATATTTTATAACTAAAAAATTATTAAAAAAAATAGATTACAATTTTGTGTAGCTGGGACATGTTACCAAGTTTGGGCTTGTGATTACTATTTATCAAATCCATTCAAGCTTCATACCTGAAGACAACTAAGTCAAACTCAGAAAAAATAGGAATAATCAAGCCACAATCATTACTAAATTGAGAGAACTTACTGCAAGATTGAAGCAACAACTAGAAAATTTAAATTGGATGTAAATGTTAAATGTAGATGGTTGCTGACTTATCGCAAAACAAATTTGGCGACACCAGGCAGGAATACTCTTCATTGCACCACAATTAAGGCTGCAAATTCAACATATCAATATAATAAAAAAGGGTAACTAGAAGCGCTAATCTATATATAGCTATTTACAATTTTACACGATGATGCTTTTGAAACTTTTAGGTAGGGGAAATTGTAATTAAAGCTTTAGGTATTCTTTGGAAAAGAATTTCATATTTCAATGTTGTGTTATGTTGGTTGCTCTCTTTAAGTCATTCCAAATAATTAAAGTAACCTTAAAAGACAACCATATCTACCACATATATCTTTGTCAAACGATCATCCACATACTATTTACAACCTATAACCTGCAATACAATGAATGATTGTGTCACTACCATATTACGAGCAAGACTAGTTAAGATTAAAACATGTTAAGGAAAGAATGTACCTACATATGCTACAAGAAGAATTTGAATTGAAGATCACATTCTAGATGCCTAAATGATCCACATCGTTCAATGTAAAATTAAAAATAAGTTGAGCATGCAGACAAGTAAGATAAGAATAGGAATGACAACATACTTACCTGCCAGACCAAAATACATTGTCTAATATACATAATCAAAATCAACATTGCAATGATTTCCATCCAATTGATGTGCAGAAAACTGATAATCACAAACCTCATAATCTGACGTTGGCAATCATGGTCCACAGACCCTTCAAAAATCTCATCCTGAACATTAAATTGAAATTATATGTCATGTTTTAGTAAGTCACCAGACACATTTAAGTAAGCTAAAACAAAGATTATCTTATTTTCCTCTCATTTTTTAATCAAAATCACATGATAATACATACCTCCATAACTCCATTACCTCCAACAAACACTGGATTGGCTATTACTTTTAGAGAAAAGGCTTCTTGCAGCCATAGTGACGGAAACCAGTAATATAACAAGAGAAATTTTCTTGAAGTGGGTCTACAAAATCAGTAACACTTGTTGGATATTGGCCCTCTAATCTATAGCTTAAAAAGAAAACAGAAGGAGAAGATGTGTTTATATATGGTGTTTATGTATGCATGCAGAGAATGAGAAGAAGAAATGGGGTGGGGAAAGTTGCTGCTACAACCTACGTGGGGCTACATATTTCAAACCTCTTTTTTCTTTTGACCCCAACCGCTTCACCTGCAAACCACGTCGATAACTACTTCTATAAAAAAACCATCTTTAGCATCTTTCGAAAATTCTGACAACGACGTCATCTACTCAATAACCTCTTGTGATCAACCCATTATCGACGAGTTATCACTCTCTTCACCGAATGACACCTTAGGCGCTACTTGCTAAACCTTATCTTTGAAGATCACCAACTTCGAACCACAATAAAAGCAACTTCATCCTTGACAGGATCCACCTGTTCTGCTGAGAACTAATCCCCGTTGGAACTGCCCAGAATCTACTGCCAGTTGCTATGATACCAATTGTTAGTGCAGGCCCTTTAAAACACACACACTACCTACATATATATGCTTGTTCTTTATATTCAATAAACAAAGTTACAACTAATGCAAAGAAAGCTACTACTATATATACCACTCTAACTATGATATCTATCTAATTGATATATCATAATCACGTTTCAAAACTTACTCCTAAAGTAAAGCTAGATATGGGATAAAACCCCTCATGAATCGGTCTTGCTTTTGAACAAGTAAACCTTTCTTATTTTCCATGTTTATTATTTGTGGATATCCTCCATCAGTTATGTTGGTGATTTTGTATCATCAATGTGTATTTAAGTGTAATGGATTGACTTGTTGACCAAAAATCATTCTTGATGAATATTAAACAAGTAAGGAAGGTGCGGAGTGCACACTTGTTTGAGTTTATTCAAGATTCAAAGTAAACTGTCATTTAGGGGCGAAGCCCCTAAACGAACGGGGGTTCGGGGGCAGCGCTCCTGGGAGCGGGGTCCAAGGGGCGGCAGCCCCTGGCGGGGTCATCATTTTTGGACAAAGAAAACTATCTTGACAGTTTTCAGACAAATGATATACTTAATCATTCTTTGGTCATCATTTTTTTCCTGGTACAAGAACAATCACGAAATCATAACTTCATATTCTCCATTCTAGAAACTCTTTTTAGTCTTATCCGATTAAAGGTTGGGAGTACCACCCAAATACTTTAATCTGAAAGTGTTTAACACGATTCTCAGGATTTTCAAGTCTTTCCATACCCCAATTTCTAACATACCAATACCCGTAGGCTATAGGATCATGACACATTGACCTGTAAACAAAACTATTGAACCGTGATCCAATGACCCGTACCTGTCACCCGATAAATAAACGATTAACCCAACAACCCTAAATTAACTAACACATCACAAAACCAGTAACCCAATAACAAAATTAGTGAGACATACCTAGAGGAAATGGGAGTTGATGAACAGAAAGAAAAAGCTGGAATCAGGGAAATTGAAATTGTTGATGAAACCAGGAGCCGAAATCAACACCAAGCCCAGAACAGGGAGTTGGAATCAACACATGGAAGAATTCTCCTCCCGAAGACATTAGGTCGCAGATCACAGGCTGTGAAGGCGATGATTGTTGTGGAGGTCGGCGATGTCAATGGAACCAGGAAACATCGTGGTGGTCGGTGTCAAGTAGCAGTAGTTCGATCGAGAGAGAAAAGGGTGAATGGGATCCGATTGTGAATAAGGGACGAGATCTAGCTTCATAATAAAAAAGAATTATTTAATTTAATTTTTTTTTTTTTAGTTGAGACGAATTGTCATCCCTGTAACTTTTTAGGAACCTGGGAAATTTCCCGCTAACCATTTGAGACCCGCTAAGTCGTTTACAAATCTCAAGGTCAATTTTTTTTGGTCCACCCTATTCGAACGACAAATCGTCCCCATAGCTCCACCTATAGCGACGACCTTCATTGTCCCTTTAAGCTTTGTCACTATAGATACTTATTCTTGTAATAATTAGCCCGAACCATTGGGACCATTCGTGTAATTTACTCTAAATAATAGTGTCATTTGAAACTTTAAGATAAAAACATGTTTATATGTTAAAATGATCATTAATAAATATTTGAAATAGACTCTGAAAGCCATATGATGATAAGAATAAGAATGAATATTAATAATAGACTTTGGAAGCCATATAATGATCAATAATCAAGATTCAAGAGTGAATGATAAGAGAATCAAATTAGTTATATTATATAGTGGAAAGATGACGGTTATCGATAACGTGTGAAGCAATGTGAGGCAAATAGAAAAAAAAGAATCAAATTAATGTGTAAAAGATAAATAATTTATCTTTAACCAGTTGGTTTGGATGATGTACTTTATAAAATTTATATAATTGATCTTCATATATTTTTTTTTTAATTTATATAAAGATAGGAAGAAGTTAGACGAATACAATTATACAAAAACCTAGACAAAAGAATTATATGTGTGAATGAAGTGACCATTAAAAACAAATTATACTTAAAAATATATGAACTTTGACACGTGTGAGGTTTTATATTATTTGATTATATCTCCTTTGATTATTTTATTTCAACAATCTGTCTTATTTTCTACGTTATGAAATCAAGTGCATGATGCGATAATCTATGCCATAGAAAATAATAGTTTGAATGATTACAAGTTTAAGAAGTTTAAGGGTTATTAATTATATCTTCTCGATACTTTTTATTTGAATTTTTGTCAAAAAAATATAATTATAAATGATCACAAAAACACCTATTAGATGTAAACAGAACAAATAAATCAACAATAGAAATATATGATGCCTTTCTCATTCATTTTACATTCAAAAACGGATTTTGTCAAAACTAAATACAAATTATCAGCTCAGAGTTTCCATATAACTCATAAGCTAATCCAAATATCCTTTCGTTAAGTATAACAATTCCCAAAAAAAAAAAAAAAAAAAAAAAAAAAAAACACCTTAAAGCTCAATCAATCAAAGCTTCTGGGATCAGTAATGTTGATCAGCCAATGGTTATCAGCAAATCCAGCTCTCTTAGCCGCTTCACGATCCCGCTTCAACTCTTCCTTCCTCCAATCCGTCAACTCACATTCCTTCTGTAAGCTATCATCCATGGCGTCATGAACATTCCACCATCTACGGTTTGCCACATCACTAGCATACATCCTGAAATAAGGGACATCCCAATTACAATCGTAATCTCTATAGCACAACCATGGTTTCCGTCCAAAGTAATGTATCGTGTAAAGCTTCGGTGGATCCGCCGCAAACAACTCGTTATTTACAGTTTCTTCCTCGTTACTGTTTAACACAAACTGCTTGAAAAAGTTCACCTTCTTCGGAAATCTATGCCAGTAGACAAATATTTCATTCAAAAACCCTTGATCACCGCCATTGTACGAGGTGATTTCGTTGATACTTCGCATGAAATGCATGAAAGTGCAATTTGAGGGCTCAATGACCATGATACCGGAGTTAAATCTCGATTCCGAATTGCTAGCCGCAGACATCTGCGGGAAAGAGAAGAGGTGGTCGAGGTTGCGGAGGACAATCATGTCACAGTCGATGAAGATGATCTTGTGGTAGTCAGTGAGCTGCCATAGCCGTAGCTTGGTGTAGTTGTATCTGTTGTAAGTGTCGTTGCGACTTCGTGGGTTGCTGATTCGTTCGATGATACGTATAATCCAACCTGCAGCTGCTAATGCTCTGCGTTTGGAGATTGAGATGGAGGTGTCGATGAGGAGGATGAGGTGGCGATTTGTTCTTGTTTTAAGGAGGGATTGAGCTAAGGTTATGGCACCGCAGACATAAGCTTCCGATGAGTGGAGCACGGTGGCGTAAGCTTCACGTTTTGTGAGTTTGCTTTCGGGGTTTAATTCATGCACTTGGTTTATAATACCTTTCTCCGAAAGAGGCAAATCCATATCACAAGTACCAAAAGGCAAAGAAATCTTGTGTTTCAACGTGTTCACGTCCGGTTTATAATACCACCATTCACCTTCTTCCTTCACCAAATCATCGCACCTGAAAACCTCCATCATCGGCTTACACTTGCTCTCAACCACCACCTTCGTCCTCCCCCTCCCTCTCTTCACCACCAGTTCCGCCGCCACAAGGTGCAACTGCAACCGGAAAACGTCTCTTTGCCATCGCTCTTTCGGATGCTTGCATGGTATCTTCACAACCACCATGTCCATGTATTCGAACTTGTTAAAATCCTGCATTGGCATCTTGGGACGTGATTGGATTTCCTTTTCTTCTTCTTCGTTTAGGTATCTTGGGAATAAGTCCTCCCACTTTAAATTATTGGAGACTTTTTTGAAGGAGATTGGGATTAGTTCCCCGAAAACACTCCATTGACTAAAATCCTCTCTATCCATGTTTAGCATTCCAATCCTCATGCCTTTTTCCATGTCATTAATCAAGAAATTAGGCGTCTTTGACTTTTGAGCATGTTGATATGATTGGATGGATGATTTTACATCGTCTTGCATTGCCTTCGTATGGTAGCTAGTTTCGACCTAACGACCAAACAAACAATGAATTACAAATCAAGTCATGAATAAATACGTACCATGAATACCTAGTGTACACCTTACCATGTGAAGGCACTTATGGGATGTGCAAGGATTTATGACAGAACTATCTAAAGCTGAAGGAGATAGGAGAAGGAAGGCAGCAGAAATAATAAGGAAGAAAGATGACAAAACAAGATAGATCCTAATCATCAGAGACTTTGGAAATTTTATCAACATCATGTTGTGTGGATTTATAGCCTTTGTAATGAAGTTTTAATCAAGGAAATAAATTGATATTGGGAGCTTCAAAGTTGATTTGAGGGTTTAATTTCTTGTTTTTGAGACAAAAACACATGACCAAGTAAAACATTGACCTACTTTGTTAATTTCCTAATTGTGTAGTGGTGTTAATATTTTAATTTATAGAACGTGGGAGAAAATCCAAAAAGTATCATTTACATGAGGTTTATGAATATTTTTTTATCATATTACTCATTAAATACGATCCGTTTATCATGGAGTTTTGATATCACAAGCCACGCACGTCGAACTTTTGATTTTTAATTAATTACTTACTTGGTTGACTTTGTTTGGGAATTGGGATGAAATTATCTCAATCTCTAAAAACATGAGTATTTTTTTGTAAAATAGGGGCTGTTTCCCATTTCTTTTGTAAAAATGGGGTTATTTTTTTATTGTCTTTTAGGCTGTGAGTGACCCCACAACTCCCATACGTATTCCATCAATTGACAAAAATGGTCACTTGAATATTACAACTTTAAACCTCAATTTATATAATATGTTACATTTACATTCTTTTTATGTTTAGTTATTATTTATGTTTTTATTAAATTTTGTGCGTATACTTCTTTATTGAATAGTAGTCGAATGCAATACGCGTTGCATAAAATGCAATAATATAACAAGATATTAAAATGATATATATTTTTAAAAATAAATATTTCGTTGTATTTAACTCTGAAAAAACTATTTTTACATTACAATCACTACAAAAATACTAACCTTTAGCGGCGACGAAAGTCGTCGCAATTGATCATCTCTGCCGTCGCTAATGCTATTAGCGACGACATATCGTCGCTAATGCATCGCCGCAGTTGGTTCGTAGCTAATAGCCCATGTCGTCTCTAATACTGTGGTCGCTAATAACTGTCGTCTCTAATACACTGATGTCGTCTCAAATAGTGTCGTCCCTATTAATATTCCGGCAACCGGTAGGATTTTTCCGGCGATACTCTCTGGAGGCCATGTCGTCATAATTGACAGTAGTCGTCTCTAAAGGCGTCGCTGCTAATGTTTTTTTTTTTTTTTTAAGAAAAACTTATTTTTGATAATATTAATTTATATATATTATAAAATGCTGTTTTGATAAAAATACATATATAAATACATACGATATTATATAAAAACATCAAAAATACCATATTCCATTAACTATTTTCCAAACAAACATCAAACATACCATATCTAATAAATCTCAAACAAACGTTTAATATATATCATACATAAACTATTTTCCAAATCAAAAGTAACATCCTCCATATCATAAAACAAGAAATACTAGTTGTCTTCGTCTTCCCCACCGTCCTCCCCATCGTTGTTTTCCTCGTTGACTTGGTTTTTAAACGAGCGAATAATGTCTCCAATGGCCGTCACAAATGCCGGGTTTTGAAGAAAAGCGTTCACATCAACATCCTATAATTAAGTCACAAACAAATAAGTTATGAACAATTCAACAAACCATCAAAGCACCAAATCAATTAAGTCTATAACAATTTAAGAAACTACCGAGCTACCAAAAGTTACTACAAATACATTAAGTTCTTAACAATATAACAAAGCAACCAATTTTTTTAAGAATTTAACAAGTACCTGCGTTGGTTGCGATGCTTGTGATTGTGGCTGCCATTGGGATGAAGCACTTGTACCCGCAGTTGAAGAAACTTTAGGCCCAATGCCTCTCACATGCCCCCTTCGAGTACCCAACACCTTCTCAAATATTGCGATCCAATCAATGGTGTCTGGATCACCACCAGAGTCGGCTATGTGATGAGTCTGTAGAGCAACCTCAGCAACTAAGGCATTCTGTATTTCACAAAGATTGTTAATATACGTTAAAACTAACAAAAAAAAATTAACAATCTACTTCATTTTTAAGTAATAATAACTTACATATTGCTCTTCAACCAATGGATCAACAAATTCCCCTCTTTTATTTACATGCGCACGATGAAATACTTCAAGTCTATTCAAATTCTGTTTAACATTACAAAATATGTTATAGTTGAATAAACATTAAAAAATATGTTATAACTGAATAAACATTATTGAAACTTACTTTTTTGAAACAAGCACTACCGTAGCTGCACGTCCCTCCACGATTCTTCACTACTTGCTTCTTCCAGCATTCTTTGTTTCCAGCGGATCGTTTTTGATGTTTTTCTGTTAAGAAATGGTCAATAGCAGCATTCCAACGCTGCTGATCCATACCCCTAGGGGCTTGAGCCCTTGCTGCCTCCACATTCCCTGCAAAATCATCAAAACGGTTTTTTGCAATATTTTTGCGGCCTCTATACCGCGCACATATCCGATTATTCAGTGATGCCCAATAAGTTGAAGCCATGGGATGATTTGTAATCGCGTCAAAATCAAACCATCTTTACAAAAAAAATAGATAAATTAAAACCATCAGCAGCAAGCCCTAAGCGTACGTTTCGGGGTTCCCTCGAGAAGTCAGGATACTTCATATCAAATTTTTTCCATGAAGTACCATCAACGGGATGAATCATCGTACCATCTTTGGATTGTCCGGTACTATGCCAAATCATATCTTTAGCTGTGTGTCTTGAACAGTACAAACGTTGTAGTCTGGGGGTCACAGGAAAGTATCGTAAAACCTTATGAGCCACCTTCTTACCCTTTGTATTTTCATCAACCCACCGACTCTCATTACAAACTGGACATTTTTGCTACAACTCGTGCTCTTTCCAGAAAAGAAAGCAGTCATTTTTACATACGTGTATTGACTTATAACCTAAGCCGATCTTTTTAAGTGTCTTTTTTGCTTCGTAATGTGATGGGGGGGACCCTGTTTCCTTCAGGAAATGCAGTTTGCAACAACTCAAGAAGCTGATCGAATGAACTATCAGTCCATTTGTTGATCACCTTGATATGCATCAGCTTTGCTAAAAAGTCAAGGGACGAAAACGAACATCCAGGATATAATTTGAATTGGACTTCCTCTAACAGCTTTTGAAATCCAACATCAACACCTCTATCGTCTGTATCTAGGTTCCCTTCGTTGCAGTTGCTATCATTTTCAATCACACCTCCCATAACATCATCAATAACATCAGCCATCTCGTTACTACGCGGTATGTCTTCGACAACCGGGTGAGTTGTATTTTCGCCGTGATACTTCCATATAATATAATATATATATATATATATATATATATATATAATATATATATATATATATATATATATATATATATATATATATATCAATTTCACATATAAATTTATCAAACTCATACATGATCAACAAGTGAATATATATATAATATATATATATTATTTATATATATATATATATTATATATATATATATATATATATATATATATATATATATATATGTAACGCCCGCAGATCCGGGCTAGTCAATTTAGAGGCAATATGGGTTGAAAATGACTTTTCGACAAAAGATTATTTAGAATAAATAATCTTAACCAAATTGTATAATATGTCACAAGGTTTCCGTACATATAAAGAACGCCGAAATCCGAGTTATAACGAAGAAGTTATGGCCCGTCGAAGTTTTACGGCAAAACCGGCACGACACCGGGAAGCGTAAATAGTGAATTTACGATAGAGCGAGATTTATCCTTAGCAATCTAAACCAAAGTCGTAGAATATGTTAAACTAAGAGCTTCGATAAAAAGAACACCCAAATCTGACTTCGTATGAGGAAGTTATGATTTTTCTAAGATTCGGCTTAGCAGTGCACGACCCGAAACTCGAATTTTAGTTCGAGCGGTTTTTGGCTTATGTGACCTAAATGAGAGTTCAAGATCTCATTAATAGGAACTCAACGGTAAAAATACAGACGAAAACGGAGTCGGTATGAAGGAGTTACAAATTCTTCGCGGTCATTTAACAGTCTAAACGCCTCGTACTGTTAAATTTAAGATCGGTTGAGAATTAGCCGACGGAGTCAAAATGAAAGTTGTAGATATTATTTTTACCTACGCGTGGATATAAAGAACGTCAAAAACAGAGGTCGTATGTGAAAGTTACGGATTTTAGAAGTCGGAAGTGTGCTATGCGAAAATGGGTGATGTGGCACAATCTTGGCCATTGCTTTCTCCCAAGTCTTGCCACTAGATGGTGACATGTGGCACCAAGTTCAGCCATTTTCACCCTATAAATACCACCTCTCCCACCCTCATTTTCTTCACACCTTTCCCATTCTTTCTTCTCTTTACTCTCTCTCTAGAACCTCTCTCTAGCCCCGAAATCCCCCGAAAAGCCTAGGGAACCTCCCTAGCACGAGGCGGAAGCCCCGGAGTGCTCGACGGCTCCGAGAAGAAGAGATTTTCGGCTCGGAAACGCTGCTCCAAGCAAAGCCTGGTTTCTATAAAACCCGTTGTAAGTGAGCTACGCCTACGCTAT